TTGAAGCCCTGCTGGATGGCCTGGACAGGCAGCTGTCCCAGAAGGTTCACCCCAGGTGAGGGAGATCCACGGACCCTGGAAGGAGGGTCCCGGGAGTCCCGAGCAGGGAGAGTCAGTGTTCGGGACACGGGGGACTCGGGGGGGAGCGGCTTCTGGCGTGGAGGAGGTGCTGGCCTTCACCGAACCGAGCACCACCCGCCCAGGGGTTTCCTCATGAAACTGCTGCACGTGGGGGATGCGGTGAGCATGTGTGAAATCTGCCCCTGCCCCTTCTCAGAAGAGCCAGAGGTCGAAGCACACCACGTGGGAGGGGTGGAGGGTGGCAAAGGAAGGCAGGAAGGGCAGGGCGTCCGCGATGTCCAGAGAGGGAAAGAAGAGAAGCTCAGGTAGGAGGCTGGGTCTTTTGGTCTCAGTGCTGAAACCGATTCCTGTGTCGCCCACAGCAGGCGGAGACTGCGGGTGCTGGATTGGAGGGACGTACACCGGGACTTCTGGACCTCACGGCCCGGGACCGTGAGAGTTGCCCACTCGGGGGATGCCAGCAGCGAGGAAACGGGCGAGCGGGGGCCGAGGAAGAAGAAGCCGAGCCTGACGGTACTCGCGCAGCTCCATTTTGAATCCTGTAGTACCTATGCCAACCACGATGCGTTGCAGGTGTGTCTCTTGAAGTGGGTCCGGAAGAGAAGAGCCGCGGTACACCTGCTCTCTGAGAAGGTGACGATCACTTCCTGTGCTGTCTTTCACGTGGTGAAGCTGCTGCGTGCTGTGCAGCTGGACTCTATCCGGGAGGTGCATGTGCTCAGCGACTGGACTCGCGAAAGCATGCGAGCCTTCGTTCCTCAGCTCAAGAAGATGAAGAACCTTCACACATTTCGCTTCGGCAGCATGGACCCAGACAAATATTATTCACCCTCGAAAAACAAATGGCATTCCCGCATCTATGCTTATCACTTAGGCCAGATGCAAAGTCTCCGGGAGCTTCACATAGATAAGGTCTTCTTCTTGGAAGGAAAACTGCACAAGATCTTCAGGTGAGTGGGTGGCGAGCTCGGCTGCACATTCGAGGTGCGGGTAGGGTAGAGAGGAAGAGGGCGTCTGTGTGCCCCGCGGCTGGTAGCCTGGGAGGTAGCGGGAAGTGGCTGCACAGCACCGTCTGGACCCGCAGTGAGGTCTGCCGCGTCCCATAGGGACCCGTGAAGGCAGGGACCAACGTGGAACAGGAGATCCGCACCCGGCCCCACTCTCAGAAAGGCAGCGGGGTGGGAGCCGGCGGCGGGAGGAGGGCAGCCGCGATTTCTTTGTCTTGAAGGAGCGTGTCTAGGTTACGGTGCTGCTGGAAGAGGTAGGAGAGAGCAGTTAACTAAGGGTGCACAGAGGACGGCACTCAGCAGCTCCGGTGGGGCGCGGTCCCGTTTCTCTCTGCCCACCTTTCAGAAAGGCGGCCGGGTGCTCCTCCGAAGCTGGCGGCGCCAAAATAGGATGCCCGAACCCTGCAAGGTAAAAAGGAGCCAAGTTTGATTTGAGGTCACAGCTCAGAGATTCGGGTCCGTGGTTGGCCGGCTTCGGAACACCGCAGGGGCAGCAAGGACAGTTCCACTGCAGGATAGGCAGAAAGCAGCAAGCCGGCCTCCCTCCTTTCCCTTCAGCTTCCTCGCGGGCTACGGTTAGTTCCGTTGCTTGTTACCATCCGCACCCAGCAGAGGGGAAAGAGCCGAGTGTTTCCGTCCCGATCGATTGCATGGCCTTCGGCCACGCTAAACCAACCCTCGGACCAGCCCGGATGCCACACCGCGATCTAGCCGTTTTCCCAAAGGCCCGCCGCTGAGTGCGTTAGCTTTGGGGGGGCAGCCCATTCCTAAACCATAGCGATGCCCCTGGGAGGTGCGGGAGTCTGGGCCTCGCGGGGGAGCAACACACACTTTGCCGAGGACACGGACCCAGCTGCATCAAGAGTGGCCGGTCTTGCCTGGCTTCATCCTTCCTGCATGTCACCCCCTGGCCTCACCTGGACAGAGCTGTGGTTTTCTGCTTGGGGATGAGCACAGGGCACTGTGGGAAATGGGGACTGAGTCGGTGACACCAGTGATGGTACCTTGAACTGTTACTGACTTCCATTCACCGCATCTGCTCCCTCCCTCCCTCTCTCTCTCTCTCTCTCTCTCTCT